AAGTTCACAGCCACATCCCAAAATGTCAAAATGTCCTGAAATGAACAATAAGAGTTTGACTATGTGTGCACAGCAGACTACTTTCCTTGAATCAAAGAGATCAAAAAGATCGAGCAGCATATTCTGATGTAGGGAGTGATCGGAACTACTCTATAGATGCTGTTCTACACTGTCATATTCTCTAATGCCTTTTCTAACTGTGGAAATAGTATGGCATGATATCCTCGTATTCAGCACGTGTATTGATTTTATGGAATAGAGCATCTAAAATTAGGACCTCAACATAAGTACATACGTTTTAATGCTGAATTCCCATGATAAATTATATATTTCAGATGGAATATTAATGGTGAATTACACATTTACTTATTTCTAGTTTTCACAACTATAACTGTGGATGTCCACTGAAATACATATTCTGATTCAATAAAATCTAGAATTATTTTAATTCTAAAATACTCTCTAGGGATTGCAAAACCCTGGGTCCAAAGGCCAGTCTCTTAGATACAGAAAAGTGGAAAATGGAAGTCAGAATGCATGGATGAATTTAAACTGGAAGAGCTTTGTTTTTTCCACAGCAGCAAGGGGAGGAACCATTGACTTGAAGTAATTCCCATACACTCGCCATCACCCGGCCATATTTACAAACATCGACACACTAATTCAAATAGTTTACATAAGCCAGATGTGGTGCAGACACTTAATCTCAGCACTTGGAAGACAGAGGCAGAGGCAGAGGCAGAGGTAGAGGCAGAGGCAGCAGGATCTCTGAGTTCAAGGCCAGCCTGTCTTCACAGTGAGTTACACGCTAGCTGGGGCTACAGGGAGCCTGACTAAAAAACAAATAGTGTACATGATTATTTTTATGAGAATATTTTGGAAACCATAAAATGGCTGATAAAAAAACGTTCATACATTTCTTGAACAGCCTGTACCTCCTGGACCCTCCCTGAATCTTCTCTGAACCAACAGCTCCACGTGGTTCCTGTGGTTGGGATGAAACTTCACATCCCCATGAGACAGGTTCTGTCTGCTTCTGGTTGCACACCACCCTGCTCCCTGAGAGGATTGCTCCCTATGCCTCCCTGGAGCTTTTCCAGGCTCTGAAGACCCCAGGGTCACTCCAAACTTTGGTGCCTCTAGGCCTCTGCTCTGTCCCAGGGGAATACACTCTAGGTTGCAGTAGCCTCACACTTCAGGTTCCGCCCATGCCACACCCCTTCCCTAATCACACAGAATTTTCTCCATTTTCACTC